TCTTGGCCTGGTGGACTTCTCAACTCATGGAGCTCCGTCATGTTGGGCAAGTTGGTCATGATTGTAGTAGGCTTTTTTCGAATGTGCCCCATAGTTTTCTGATCAAAGCTGACCATGTGCATCCCCTCTTCTTCCTCCAAAGCGAGAATCTCTTCCCAGCTCCAAAACGAAGGCATCACGCTTCCCAGTTTATTTTTCCCAGGATCCTCCGGAGATTCCAGCAAAAAGCCTGTCTTCACCCTCCCGAGGTCATACTTTATGCGCGCCTCCTCCGCCATGTAGTAGATACCCACTTGTTTGAGGATCAGGGCCGTGTCGTGGTCCGCCAATCGTTGTTCCCCAGCACTGAGGTTTGGTAGTCCAAATCTTCCAGCTCCTCGATCCCGTAGTGGCCGAGGTCCTGGACGCTTGAACCTCATTCTTGACACTGTCCTGCATGGTGGTCCACCAATCACACTCTTGATGGCTCCCTTCCTCGCCAGATTGGCCAGGAAACCCCATAGGCCAGGATTGTGAACATCCTGATCCTTGCCCTTGGTGATGTCCAGGGTGATCACCTCCCAGCCATCCTGTTCCAACCTTCGCCATTCCTCCGCCTTCTCCCCCGCATAGAGGTGTAGCAGAATCTTCTTCGACTGTTGCAGTCGCCTTCGTGTACCTCGATTCCAAGGTAGTGTGCCTGAAGTGGACTCCTGACCCTCCGCCATGTAGCGGAACACTCGGGAAGGCACCTGAGGGAAGCGTCTTTTCCACCACCCCATGATGTCCTCATCCAGGTTCTCCTCATCATTCAGGTCTTCTACCTTCTTTCGTTCCGCCTCCTCGATGTCCGCGATGAGGGCCAATGCGTCCGCCTCAGCAACCACCGGGCAGCCATCTCGCAACCACGAGGAGATTTTTCCCCTTTTGGGATGTACCACAACGCAGCCACTGCGGCTCCACTGTAGCTTGTAACCCAGGTCAATCAAGCCCCGAACTGGAACAATAGGCTCAATGCCCCCTTCAACCAGAATGGTACCAGTCACCGGATCTTGTTTGAGCGACACTCGACCATGCGCCAAATCCACCGGCACCAATTCAGCCTTCTCCAACTCATCGGGAAGTCCTGTACGGAGAGGATGTGTTGCCCCACCATCCAGTAGTCCCACCTTTAGGTCAGGGTCACCTTCACCACATAGCGAAGCCCCAACTGACTTGCATTTCACGGCCATGAGTTTTGCCCGATGCAGTGACTTCAACAGCGCCGTCGCCTCACCCACCAAGCCTCCCACCGTGTTCACCACTTCATCTTGTGGAGCACCTCCCCCAGGCGTAGACCTCGACCCAGTAGGCGCTTCCTCAACCGTTGCCGTCGTCCCTGGCGAAGTTGAAGCATTGGCCTCCTCCTCCAAGACTCCAGCGCGCTCCGGCTTTTCCGGGCTGTTTGTGTTGCTTCCCCCTTTGACCTTCGCCACCTTGACCGCCTCTTCTCCCTTCCCCTCCTTCTTCAAGAACGGGCAGGCTGTGCGGCTGTGGTTCAAGCCAGAGCAATGAAAGCACCTGTTGTCCTTGGGACTCAATCGATGGTGCTTGAACTTGCACCGATCGCCACGCCGACACCCTTTTTCGGTCATCCAAAACCTGCAGGTGTCTTTGTCACCGGCGACATTCTCACGTTGTTCCCCCACCGAAGGACTCGTCCAGGACATGGATGAAGTTCCAGAAGTAGGATTGGTGGCCACTGCCTTCAATGACGGACCCTTTCCCTGTCCCACTCCAGTTCCTGATCCCATCGCTAGCTCTTCCGCCTCCGCTTGTAGGAACTCCGCAAAGATCTTGAGGTTGTCCAACGTAGGCCTGGTGTCGATCAGCAACTGCTGTCTGCTCGTCGCCAGTCGATAGGCCACCTGAGCTCCAGACTTCGCCAAATGGTCTGAAGCCTTCACCAACACCCCTGCCAGGACCACTGGATCCGGAAGAAGCACACCTAACTCCTCCGAGCGATTCCACCAACGCCGCCAGGTTCGAAGGACCTGCACCACGTCGCCCATGTTTTGGGTCAGTTTGAGCTCGGTTAAGTTCTTAATGAGGTTCATCCGTTCACCTTGTCCTCCAGGTTGAAATTTTATGTAGAGGATGAACAATACCTGAGCAACTGTCATTTTGCGAGCCGTGATGACCTCCGATTTCACAGTGTCAGGCACCGCTTGTAGCAACAGGCTGAGCATCCTTCTTTCGGTCCGAGGCCATTTGTTCGCCTCTTCTGATTGTGCAGGACCAAGACGCAAGCGTTGCAGAGGATCTGCCACCAGCCACGCTTCATAGGCCTGCTCCACATTCTTTAGGGTCAACTGCCACCACTGATTTGCCCCTTGGCTGATCTCCGACACGATGGGCTCCAGGGTAGTCAACCTGTCACCAAACGTCAGCGCCGTGGCATCCAAGCCTAGCACTGGCAATTCCACCGACCGAGCGTTGTCGCCCAGTGATTCCTCAGCTGGCATCCACATGCCATTTGCACTTGATGGGTTTCCATTGGGAAAAATGCCACACACACCATTTCCCCATGGAGGTAGTCCGGGTAGTCCAGGAGGATAAGGCCATGGATATGCTACTGACCACATTGACTATGGGTGCAGTGGTCTTCACATCTCCAGCAGCTTCTCCACCTGGTTGAAGTCGATCACCTTGGACTTTGCCTCCAGGAGCTTCCACTGCCGATTGGAACGACGAGTTCGAGCTCTGTTGCCCCAATTTGCGAACTTCTTCTTGGAATTTCGCTTCGGCCTCCTTCAGACATCGCTCACGAAGACGTTCGACTTGATCGCCGCCATCACGAGGTTGTTGACCTTGTCCTCGAGGATCGCTTGAACGAGCTTGAACATGAAGTTCCCTCATCTTCTCTGCGGACCAGGGATTCAGTGGTGAGCTCTTCACAGAACCTTTTGTCTCTTCGAGAACCCGTTCACGACCACCACCATTTTCCCGAGGATCAACTCCCCCAGGTCCCTTCACCGATACACCTCCTTCAGGTAGTTCTTCTCGACGTCCTTGAGGCGCCACCGGCAACTGGTCTGCAGAAATTCCCGTCCCCCACATTCCAGGGTACGGCTGTTCCAAACCTGCGAGCATCCCCCAAGCTTGTTCTTGCACCGGTTGGAGTAGAGAAGTCATGCCTCCACCACCATCGCGCCCTCCAGCTTGTCCAGGATCGGCTGGTGCAGGTAGAGCTGGTTGTAGCCCACCCACCATAGGCACCTGTGGAAAGGTTGGCAAAGGCGGAACCATCGGCATGAACACCTGCGGAGGGCCACGAGGCCCCAGTTCTCGATGATCTTCTGGCGTAGGTAGTGCCCTTTGTTCTTCCACCTGTCTTCTCTCCGCCGGCGTATTTGTCACCGCAGCATAGGATGTTCTCTTCATGGATGGTGTCATCGTTCGGCTCGGCTCCAAGCTCTGTGCCCTTCGAGGCTGATCCCTCGCGGCTTCCAGCATGGCGTCCAGCTGTTCATCAGCCGTTGGTGTTTTCGATCTTCTTCTCCGAAGCGTCGTCGATGTCATGGCTTCACACGGTTGGGCTCATAACCCATGGGAGTGGCGTCACGTTCGTGTGTGCGGCCCTTTTCTTGAGCCAAACGTTGTGGCGGTTTTTCGCCAGGTTGTTTTGTGGGTCTCACGTGGTCCATGCATTTCGGCCGACTCACGAATATAAATAATCTATAATATATATATATATAAGTACCATCCATGGAGTCTTTGGGGCCTCCCCGTCCCAAAGGGCCGGAGTTCTGGGGCGATCTGGGGCAGCGACGCGATGCTTTCGTGGGGAGCTGCCACCAGGAGCCTTACTAGTAGTAACAAGAAGCTATTAGTAACAAGTGCCACGCTAGTAGTAACAGGTGCCTTACTAGTAGTAACAAGAAGCTATTAGTAACAAGTGGACTTTCGTTGACCTACCTGTTTCAGGTAAAGCTACTTGGTGGACCACACCTCCAGGTTTTGATAGGACCCATCCCCAAATGACCAACATTCCGCTGACATCACTCTTTCTCGTTTGTTTGCAATGATCCTTCTTCATCAGACCAAGACCATTGATCATACCATATCAAACTTGTTCTTTTTGGGGTCATGTGCTATGTTGTAAGATACGAACTATGATATATGAAACTGCGGATCATATTTTATGTCCTTCATCTTCGGAACCTCTGATCAAAGAAGAACTGTACATGATAGTGGCAGCCATGTGGATCCTGAATTGCTCAAGACATTTTTCAAGGTTCCTGAGGGGTCAGGGCCTCTCCAAGGAAAACAGAGGACCAGTCAGGGATCTGGGATCTGGGGGAATGGGTTCGGGTCTCGGATCATGCATTTGATGCAAGAGCAGAACGGTCGCATGTGGTTCGCTATCAAAAGGACAGTCAATTGCGGTCAGCTCTACACGTAAGTGCAACACCACATCAAGCCGCCTTCTTTTCTGCAGAAGAAAAATTACTAAGTTCATGTGGCAACCTCTTAAGAGTGAGGTTCCAAGGGGAACATCCTGGGTTTCACAGGGGGGAACTTCCCGTTGTGTCGTGTGCCGGAAGGTTTGTCCTGTAGGGTGCCGACTTTGGTAAACAGTCAGACATTTTTGAGTGCTTTTGATCAAGATCAAGTTCTTCAACCCCTCAAAAGAATAGAGTTTCTTAATGAAGGATGTATATAGAGACATATGTGAAATATCACTCAGTATATCATCTCCTGACCCGGGGGTAGGAGCAAGGATGCTACTAGGGGCTCCTGGCATCGCTACTAGGAGCAAAGAAGCTACTAGGGGCTCCTGGCCTTACTACTAGGAACAAGAAGCTATTAGACACAAGAAATAAATATAAATAAGTAAATCAGAATTAAGTGAAACAAGAAGCTACTAGGACCCATTTGTGACCCTGTACTTCCACCGATCTCAGTTCACCGTGCCAAGAGAAGAGAAGACCGTGCCGATGGTCACCGATGTCTCTGTCTGCGCATGGGGTGCTCCGTAGGTCCAGAAGAACCGCGGGGGCGGGGCCAACAACTTGCCTGGGGTGCGGGTCCTCAGGTGCCGCCCTCACGGCCATCCCACCGTGTTTAGATGTGAAGGGAGTCAAAATGAGTCAGACAACAATCCTGGAGGCGCCCCGAAACGAAACGGGAAACCCAAAACTGGAATAAGACGTATACGGCTCTTCATCTTGTGGAAAACACCCCCCTTGAAAGGCGGTCTTTCAATCCTGTAGACCGCTCCTTTGCGTGGCCCACATGGTCTTTCAACCGGGACCCTGCTTGAGCACCGAACATGGTTTATAGACCACCGACTACGAGGCGAATTGCGTCCAGGAGGTCAACCTGCGATGACCGCCAGAGAGTCAGCTCCATGGCGAATCCTTTTGTGACATGTGGGATTCGCCATGTGGGACTTATTAATAAGTAACATGTGTTATATATTATAATTATATATATACATTCCTTATATCATGCCTTGAAATGTGGGGCACGCCATCTTACTGTACTTACTCCCAACGGGACTGTCACAATTGCTCGATCGGGCGGATTTTGGAGTCCATCTAGGTGGCAGTCCCGGCCGTGTTTGGGATCTACACCCTGAAGCGGATGGCGCCACCGATAGAACATGGTCCTTTCGGGGCCAAGCCGTGGACGGGTCATCCTTCCTCGGTGCGAACGGAGCGCCACCACGGCACGAAAGACGGACTCGCTGTTCACGGCGTCAGGTGGACTCGGCTTACCGGAACCGAAGCGTGGAGGAGAACTTAAAGCTCTTCCGAGAGAGACCTGGTTGTCAGGAATGAAACGGACAGGTGAAGGAGCAGAATTCATGTCCAGAGGAGACTGAACTTAAGATCCCTTGACATGTTCAGCACCACCCAGTTTGGGTGGTCTTTTGGATCCCGTGACCATGGATTTACAATCCAAGAACTATCCCTGGGCTGGGTCTAAATCAATGCGAGCCCTTTCTGTTTTCCAGCTTCCCACGAATATTGGCTCCCAGTGGCCCGGTGGGAAGGGGAAGAGACCATCGGTAGCCAAGGTAGATGCGAACCCTACGAGGTGCAAGGCATTCTTTCCTTGGGCTTTCGAATTGGGTGAAACAAGTATACTTACAACACCAATGTCTTGTTCCTTCCACTCGAAATAACTTGAACTTTATCCTTCAGCTGAACTTTGATGGTTCTTGGAGTCCTTCGAGGTCCCATCAATAAGCTTGCAAAGCCAACCACAATGTACAAATATGTTTCTTCTTGAAAGTACCCTAAGGGCCAAGACAACCCCTGGGACCTCAAAACTTAGGGATTTGAGACCCAATTCCCTCCAATGGAGGGAGCATGGCCCTCAGGGTATATATATATATATAGTATATTTATATTCGCATACACATACCATTTGGAATAGTTTTGAGAGAGACTCCCATGTTTCAGATGTTGACGTATCCGCCAAGGATGCAAGAGGGCAAGCACGCAGAGGGTGCCTTGGAACTCTTCGACTGAACACCTGTTTTTTGCCCAGAAACACCGTCAGGGACGCAGTTTTCGGTCCAACATACGGCACATTTCGGTGTGGTTTATGGCGGGGCCGTCTTGCAGTCCTGGATTCGCCGAACCTGCAACATATATATATATATAATATGAGTGATGAAACGTTGAGTCCCCAGAAGGTGATGCACCAAAAGGGAACCAGCATGTCCTAAGCCAAGCCATGCGGTTGCAGTGAACCCCCGTTAACACATTGTTACTGGTACTTCCAAAAGTGTTCTAATGATCAATGAGTTAATCCCCTGTGCTATGTGCCTCTGAAAATAGAATGTGCACTACTGCTACATATCAGGAGACTTTGTGCGGTTCATGCGCACCGTACTTCAGGAACGATCAAATAAGATTCGTTTGGTATCATAGCACACCCCACCAAGCCCTAAAAGTCTGTGTGTGTGGCCAATAGATGACGACAATATATGTATATGTATATGTATATATGTAACTATGTGTTACCTGTCACTGACTTCTTTATCATTCCCAGACACTCCATGATAGCATATGATGGCAAAAGACTCCCGCTTAGGCCAGGGGTGGTTGATTTCAGGGTTCAATGTAGGTACAGTGGGTTCAGAGTAGATGGCACAAACCCTCAATGTGTTGGATGGGGACCACCAATCTTGGGGATTGTGCATGATTGTGCCATCTACTCTCCATTCACTGTATATACATGCACTAGCCTTCAAAGACCATTAAAAGACCTGGTTTTGTTGTCCAAAATCCTTAGTAAGTAAAAGGGTTCTTTGGTTCAAGACAAGTAAAAGCAAGGTTGTTGGAATCCTAGGGTATATTCCAGTCCCATGAGTGTCTGGGATTGGTATGTTCTCTCTCAGCTTTGACTGGGACCCTTAGATTCCATGTTTTTGCCTTCCAGTCAAAGCAGAAGGGTGGTGCGTCGGTCGTTCCGTGAACGATGGGTCCAAAGTAACTCAAAGGAGCTCTGGAACAAAAGGCACTGCTCCATGTTGTTTGGGGCTCTAAATAGATCTGCTTCGAAGGTGTTTGAGATGAGTTCCATGATAGTCCATTCCTATACCATTTGAGCTCCGTCCTTAAAAGGTCGGAACCAAAAGCGTTATGTCGGTAGGTCTTACATTGAGCGTACACTGAAAACCGATGAGGAACCCCCCCGATGTACGACAGAGACCCCCCCGCACCTGTTCGAAATGCCAGGTCTGAGAGATGCGAAACAGGCTCAAACCGTGCCTAGCAGTGCCTTCAGTACCGCCTCAGGAAGTATGCTCTTACGAGCGAAGATCGACATGAAGCACCCCAACATGAACATGAGGGATCCGCCCATGCCACCTGGTGCAATCAGAACAGGTCCGAACAGGGCATCGACGGCATGTGGGCGGAACAGGGGGAGGCCTTTCCCAGGAAAGACACGTGGATCACCTGCAAAAGCTCTTTGCGGGGAGGGGAGGGGATTGGGACGCCCCACTAGACAAGAACAGGTGCATGGAAAGTTTGGTCGTTCAATGTTGACTATTTTTCAGAAAAACTGTTCAGGAGTCACAAGTTGTACGGCGGCTGCGGCAAGTAACCGCCATGGATTTGAGGCAGACGGCTTGTTAGATAAATTGCTAACTATACAGATAGAACTAAAAGGTATGCAAACAACGGCGGGCTAGCCAATCAGCCACCACGGCCGACATGAGGGGGGTTTCTATAAGGATTTAAGGATTTGGGGGTTTTACCGGGTTGCCCATTTTGTACACTCTCTCCCAAATGGTAGTAGCTCTCCGTGTCCCAGAGTCCCAACCTAATCCAACCACCGAACCGACCAAGACCACCAGGGGCGTTCTGGTTGGGAAACCCTGGTGACGTTGGGCCATGTGGCTTCTGCCGCTTCAACGGCCTCGTTTCGTTCTTCGAGACGGCCTCGTTTCGGTAACTGTAACTGTTGTCCGAGGTATCGCATCCGCTTCAGTCATCACCACCGCAGTGGAGATCAATGGAAGGCACGAGTCGTGGAGTCGTGTTTCGCCACCGAGATGGGCGGCTGAAGAGCCACGTTGGTTCATGGGGCTGAAGACGAAGAGGTGCCTGTGTGCGCTTTCGAGCCTGGGTGCTGGCGCCGCTGCTATGGTGCCCCCACAATGTTTTTTGCTATTTGGGGTCTGTGTTGTGTACATACAATTATGGTTTGGCGGTGTTTGGTGGCCGGTAGGTTGATCTTTTGTAAGGACTAGCCACATACATCATTAGACATCGAGAGTTGAGCAATGCATATCACGGCAATCCTGGGCTTGATCACTCTTGATCAACGGCTATCATACTCCCTACCTTATCATAGCTGGTGCTTACCAACGAGCCCAGGGAACTTTCCGGCACAGGAGGCCCTTTCAACAACGCCACAGGGTCATCGTTGGAGCGGAGCTGCACTCGGCAGCCGTGGCCGGCCTTTCCGGGGAAGACCAGGTCTATCCCATCTACGACTTTGCGCATGGCAACGAAGATGCCATCGAAGGGGTGACGCACTCCATTTGTGCCCTGGATTGACCCTGGTTGACCTCTGAACAAGGTGCAGTGTGTATGGTAGGATGTCAGGCTACCCATGGGTTGGAAGTGTTGGGAATTGACATACTGTACCACACTTACAACCAGATGGCAAAGAACACCCAGAGATATTTGCGCGGTTAATTGCAATATCAATGAAACGGTTTTTCAACAAGTGCTGCAACTTGCAGTCCCGTCATCAATGTTGCTTTCACCCATGGAATGTAACATAGGATTGAAAAGCCAAAGCGGTGGGTTTCTTCTGCTAGTTTTCGAGTGATTCCCACTGCTACTGGGCACATTGTACAAGGCACTGGATGTGAATGGTGGGACATCTTCGTGCTTTTTCAACCCGGGACGCTCGACCTCGCGTTTCGAATCGGTCGACGCCCCGGGACTGACGCCGAGGTACATTGGAGTTCGAGAATCACCGAGCGTTATATGATTGGTTCCTGGAAACTTTGCGAAAGAACACATGTTTGAAGACGTGTCATCAGATCTGCTAAAAAGAGATCAACGACGGTCATCTGAAGGGATCAGAGGCTGTGTGCTGTTATGTTGATTGGAAGATTCCATGTCGATGTACCCCTACAAACTGGATGCTTTCGCATTTGCTCTATCAAACCGATGCAAGCGCCACGTAGCTGGCTCTCACGAGGACAACTGCACGATCGTACCCAGCAGGCCTTACCAGAAACCTGGCAGAAATGAGGAGTGGAGTGCAAGTGAACCCTCAGTTCAAGACAAAGTCACCCTTTTATAGGTTGCAAAAGGATTGCAACAGGGGCTGGATTACTCCCAGTGTGGAGCAACTGGGCACCAACCATCCCCTGTACCTGTTCATAGGGTCACCCAGACAATTGTCCAGGGAGGCGCAGAACTGGGACTTCACTTGTGTAGGGAGTCATATCCCAGACACTCCATTGGACTGGCATATTTACCTACATCGGGGTGGTTGAGCCGGGCATACATTGCATATTATATACGGAGTGCCTGGGTATTTGTTCATACTGCATGGGCACAGACAACCGTAACATCGATAACGCTGTTTCTTCGTTTTACAGGTTTTTCTCCTGCCATTAAGGCAGAGGACATCTTTTCTCGAAGCTTTTTTCTCAGAAGGTTTTTGGCTCAACAGCTGGAAGAATACAATCTCTGCTCACAGAACACATTGGGATCCCCGTGAAAGTTTACAAAATCAGTGATCCTGGGATGACTATGGGGGTGGATTCTGATAAGAGACCATGCAACATTTGCGGAGATACATTTGGTGAGACCTCAGGAAAGAGGAGTACAGTATCGTCAAAAATGAGCAGGACCGGAGGTGACAGGATGGAGAACTAGGTCTCTAGCTACGTTTGACAGAGTAGCCGGGAAACAAGATATCAAAAGAATTCAAGAGAAGCAGTTTTATCATGTTTTCCCCTAGCATGCAATCGATTGGACACCTCTCCCGGCAACCTCTGACTTTGCGACCTGCGCCCATCTCCGAGGAAGGAATTTGCACGACTGGAGGTGCAGGGTGCTGTGACCTCGAAGAGAAAATTGCTTCGCTTGGTCAAGGAACGGTCGATCGGTCGCTCGCGCCGGGCGCTCACAACCGCCGGGCGCTCCAGATTCGGGTCGACCGGATTTCACGCGCACGCTTGGTTCTTTCTTTTGCAGTGGGGAGATGGTTGTCGAGGTCAATCTACTGGTACGATCTCAAGGAATTTTAATGGCAAGTGTCAAGTGTGTTATTACGAAAGCCAGCCTTCGTAGAAGGCGCCAGCTGAGTTGTGCTTGGCGAACGAAGTGAGTAAGTAGGGGGTCTGGGGGGGTGGCCCGAGAAAGTACCACGTAAACTCGAAATTAGGTGGGGGAGAGGGGTGTGCGGAAGTAAGGTTTTTGAGGTTGAGTTTTTGTGATTTTTGAGGGGGTGGTGATGCAAGAAATGCAGTTTTTCACCATTTGCATCATCTGAATGGTAAGGTGTAGTTTTACAGAGGCCGATGTGTTGTAGCTTCGTGCAGCTGTGAATGCATAACCTTCTTACACCTATATAAGTTCAAAGCACTAATGCTGAGTCTTCAAATCTGTGGATTGCTGCACATTTCTCAAGGTCATCCAGCGGTTGACGGAAAGGGAAATTGAAGTGCTATACCTGGCAACTGAATTGTAGCTACCCTGGGCCCGTATCAATGCTATGTTGCTATACCTCTTACACACCTATATAAGTTCAAAGCACGAATGAGACTTCAAAGCGGTGGAGTGCTCGTTGACAAAGCTCTGGCTTTCGTTTTGCGGCTTCTCAGGTGATCATGCTGTTCTCTTGTTTTTTGTGAAAATCATGATGCAGTCTCCTTCAAACAGCGCGACGTTCACTGCTCATGTAATTTGAGAATTATTATGGTTCTGGACTGAATCGTTGTTTGCGAGTTCCCAGCACTGGGATGTTCCGTGAATCTAACAGTAAAGATGTGTTACCTGTTCTTTTTGCTCACCAAATTCCATGCCAGCTGTTTATGATCCTATATTCACCATTTGGTCACAAGTGCAAGCTTTGTTTGCAAACCTAAAACTATCTTGGCAAGAGGCAAGAGACCCCAAACAGTGTGTGTGTGTGTGAGGTCCAGAGGTGTGTAGCAGCAGAAAGTCTAGAGATCTAGACGCATTGGGGTCCAGAGAGGTGATGAAGGTGGAGATCGTGGTGAAGGTGGTGGTGGTGAGTGTGAGAGTGAGAGTGAGAGTGGGTGTGAGTGTGAGTGTGGATGTGAATCTGAATGTGAATGTGCGTGTGAGTGAGGGTGAGTGTGAGCATGAGCGTGAGCGCCACGAAATCTGCACGCCGAGGTTCACAAAGCGCTGCACCTGCCACGAAATTTGCACTCCGGGGTTCACAAAGTGTTGCGCCTGCCACGAAATCTGCACTTCGAGGTTCAAATCCCCTAGTGTGACCACACTGTTTGGGGGGAACCGCAAGAAAAAACATGCCAACGCCCCCCCTCAACCAGCCGACCCTTCACTGGAGGAGGGACACGTCACCGGCTGGGATGACCCGCGGCTGCTGACCATCCGGGGCATCCGCCGGCGCGGTGTGCGGCCGCAGGGGATCAAACGCATGGCAGACGGCGCAGCTGGGCAGATCGGAGGGACGTGGTGCCATTCGGTTTGGCGCGGCCGCCGCGTGGAAAGTGCGTGGTGCCACGTGGTAGGATGTGATTTGCCACAGAGCTGTGTGTTTTCCAGGTGCAGGATATTTTGCATGTTCAGCGGCATGTGCAATGTATGAGGGGTCCAAGAGTTCTGGGCAAGTCTAGTGATGATGGTGCATGGAGTGGTGTGAACAGTTTAGGCTAGAAGATGAACATGGCACATGATATCACATACAGTTGATGTTTTCTGGAAAGCCCAAATGACAAAATGTAAGTTCAACCATGTTCAACCCCTATAAAGGAGAAACACTCCAATCAGAATCCTGCTTCCCACAGAGACAATGGAAGGACGCCGATTATGACTTACCAGAATATAGGTTGTATAGGCTCCATTCTTCAGCATTTGACCTACTGTACTGTATAATTTGGTTCAATCAGTTCAAACTCAAAAGTTGTCCAAGGGGGCCCAAACTACGGAAGGCCAATGGCCCTGGGTTCGTCCATCTCCACATTCCAGCGTCACCTTTACAGCAGCGAAATCCTCAGGTGGGTGTCTCAGACCGAAACAGCACGACTCCTTTCGAGTTTGTGGAGGCACTGATTGACTGGGCGGCTTAACATCTGGGTGAGGGTTTGAGGTGAATCTTCCTTGGTTTGTTGGTCCTAGGACTGACTTGAGTCTTTGGGATGTGTTTGGATAATACGGTAAGGGACCGTGGTGTTTGATGCGGTAGCGATGCGATGTTTTTGTACCCAGAATCTCGTGACGTTGAACCCCAGAACGATTGGACGACTGGAGTTGAACGATGTTAAACGACTAGACGTACAGCCATGGCGTTTTTGTTGTCCGGTGGTGTTGAATGGACTCGGATGCTGACTTGGACTTGGATGCTCTTCGCTGCTGAGAGGCCATGCAAGGCACCTGATGGCACCGCAGTTTTCTTGATACATTCTCTGAAATAATCATGGAAGTGGATGAAAGCAACTGTTTATAGAGGAAAATGGTCATCCAGGGGGCCATGTTCCCCTTCCATGATTGTTCCAGGAAGTGCAAGCCAGTGTAAACGTTGTCCTCCTTGTGGTTTGAACTCAAGTTCATGCTTGGATTGTTTTTGACTCTGAGAAATGGGTTCAATATGTTGCGTTCAATGGGTTCCTCCCAGAGAGCCATAAACAGAAAAGGCACAGATACGCACAGGTCTTGAGGGTCCAAACCACTGCTATGCAGGGTCAACGTCCTGCAAAGGAGTTCCAATGATCACATGGCGATGCACACCAGGAACACATGTGTGCCATCCACTTTTGCTCAACTGACAAGACTGTTTGCTACAAAAGCTCAACAGTTATGCGGACCAAGTTGGTTAGGACGTTTGTTTTGTTTTGTTTTGTTTTGAGGTGGGGAATCATGAACATGTCCGGAATTTAAGTTGTCCCTACCTTTGCTTGACCACACAAATGGACATCTTCAAAAGATTTGCCTGTGGATTACTCGATCTCCCTCGACCTTTTGTACTGGCGCACTAGTTCAATTGGATGTTGGAGGTCCATCCTACTATATACTAGCTTCTTGTTACGTTCGTAGCTTCTGGCCTCCAACCGAACAGAGCGATGGCCGAGCAAAACGCGTCCATCACTCGCAGGAATGCTGGCGAGAAGACTTGGAACCCATCAGCAAGCGACGGCTCGCCGTTTTGGATCCTTTGGAGGTCGTGACTGGGCCGCACAGCCACCCGAGACGCTCGAGCCACTCGACCACGAGCCATGAGCTCCAGTGTGCGCGGGACCGCGGTGTCTCGCGCGGGACTTCGCGCGGGCAGAGGAGATCATTGACTACGAGAAGGAGGAACTCATTGAGGGCATCACAGATTTGCCTGAGCAATCTGCCAGCAGCCAGCCGAGCTGCGCACGCACCTTGAGCACCTAAGCTTGGCAGAGCAAGTTGGGCAGAGGCAGAGAGGGCGCTTTTGAGTGATGGCGATGCCTTTGACAGCCAGCCATGTGCTTACTGTAAAGTCGAATCATTTGGGAGCTGGTAGTGAATCCAATATGCAATATAGGACATGCAAGAATAGACACCGCCTTGAGTCGTCTCGGAAGCTGTTTTGTCCTGGAACCAGCCAATTGTATCATTGTAGTACATATACGTATTACATATATATATATATACATATTTGTCCTGCTGTGTTAGGTGGGATCCTGAACTTAATAAGGGAAGCTTTTGAAATACAAAGTTATGTGCGTTGACTCAATGTTCTACTTGGGAGAGGCTTGCCTATCATGGTGGGATTTTGCTTTTGCATGCCGATTTGAAGGGACTGCAGAATGAACCGACTTTAGAATCGAATCGAAGCGTCTCAAAGACTCTTGTGACCCCAACATGTATTGTAAGTATATTTATACATACATATGAGGTACAATACTTGCTTAGATGCCATAATTCAGTCTGTGAAGGGAGACGTGGGGGTTGGAACCTGCGATTAAGTATTGATCTTGGTTTCAACACTATATAATACAACTATATACATATATGTACAATGTATATATATATACAGTATATACAATCATGCTATGGCATCATTGAGACATAATCAAGCAGATTTGCTTGGGTTCTTCAGGCAACTCCCACGAAACGCAACCCTTTGAAGACCTTCAAAGCATGTTTGCAGACCCAGTACAGGTCAGGCGAAGCTTGGGAGCTTCGTTGCTGTCCACACCGAAGCTTCGGGGAACCAGGGCTCCACGCGGCCGCGGCCCAGGCTTTTCCAAGAAGATCTTCATCGAGCAAAGTGATTACCAGGAGTGACAACTCAACTCTCGGCATCTTTTCCTCCAAATCCATCAGAGATGTAGTACTTCGTTCCACCATTTTCCGCCAAGGGATCTCAAGGCTCTTCATCAAGTACCATCTATGACCATGCCAAGTTCATTGGTTGTGATATGACTACCCTGCATGAATGCGATAAATGGCTGGTTGTAGCCGTCCAGTTATCATATCATATCATATCGCTATGAAATTGGTTGAAGAAACATGACTTGTTCGAGTGCATGTGGTTCACACAGTCCAGGGATTTGGTTTCTGGCGCTGATGTAGTTCACCAATGGGGACCAATTGTTGGTCAACACTAGCCAACGGATGAATGGCGCCCACAAGTGGGAGGGAGATACTGGCAGCAAAGATCAGGTTTTTTCTGAATGTGAAGAGTGCGACTTGACGTGTCGTTGAAGGTGTTTCAGAGGATCTCCCATCCACCACATCCCTGCTGACCAGTGAATTCACTATATAATGGTGTGTGTGTGTGGTTTCACAGTGCTTGTTGAACAAATGCAACATTCCCACACACATGGCGTGCAAGATCTCATACACAGACTCCCCGCATGGTTTCAGTCCAAACACCACCTCCATCCGCTCCTTCGGCAGAGTGTCGGATCCAGGAGAATCCGCCTGAGGGTTACTTCCGCTTGGGAGCAATTGGAAGTGAAGTCAAGCTCAGACATTCCTACGCCCCTTGCGCTGCAGCGCACGGACGGTGGGTGCGCAGCAGCTTCAGCACGGACCGATGAATGTCGACGGCATCGGTTTTTGGTGAAGGGGGGCAAAAGGATTGACCTGAGAACCTCCCTGGCGGGCGATTTCTTGGGTGAGCTAGTACTATAAGTGAACTTCACCTCTTCTGCAGGGGGAGGTACTTGTAGAACAACAGCCCAACATGGAGTATGTTTGGGATTGAAGGACATGGGCCTGACACGAGACTCAGCCGGTTTTGAGGGTCCGGACCCCGAGACTGGAGGGTCCAACCAATGGAGGGTCTTGGATTCTTAGGGCACCAATATGAACCTCATTGAACCTCCCAAGCACTTAGCAGATCTAACAAGGGCCCGTTGACCTGGTGCCGATCAAGTGACCCGGCCCAGCTCGACGAGCACAGCACGGTCTACAGCCGAGCACGCGACGTTTTGTTTTTGCGCCCTGAAAGTGGTTCCGGCCCAACCTACTAGCGATGGCCTCCAACCTAATAACAATGGCAAATTCTGTTGCTTTTTCACCACCTCTCTTTTGAAAGCAGTTCTGACTGACCACCTCGGCCAAGTGGGATCCAATTAGGGGTCCCGGATGTCCGTCTTATGGGCATGGGCTATGGTCATATAGGTTTATGCTGGAGGTGTGCACTTGGGCTGGCCACAAAGCATGGCGTTTGATTGTACCGTATTGTAGCTGCTGCAAAACCTTTGCCTTTGGAGTTGGTAAGAGATCCATGCCAAGGTGAGAAAGTTAAAACCTAGGGGAAAACTTGATTGAAGCCACCAAACTTGGTGAAAGCGCAAAGGTCTCAGTCTGACTGGACAGCCTGCTACCTCACCGTATGCCCATCGGCTTTGTCGTGGTTGATTGCTTGTCACAAGCTGTTGTGTGACACCTGGCAGAGTTGCCGATGTGTTTGGGTGTTTCGTTGAATTTCAAGTTACAAGGTGTTTTGGAAACTGCCGCTAAAAGTAAATGTGGACTGGCACACGATTACTTTGCCCGGCTAGGCACACAGAGCGAGAGGAGACCAATCGTGGTTGGCCTAACACGGACATGTCAAGACAACTCAACCTAGTAGCGTCCTTGCTCCTAGTAGCGATGACCCCCCCCAAAAAAAGCATTAAAGCTGTAAACCGGTCTTCACTGCTGAGCAAGCACCATGGTCCATTGAACGCCTCCTTTGTGCATGTGTTGTTTGTTTGTTTAGTTGGTAAGCCGGTGGTTCACGAATTCACCTGCAGGGGAGGCGAAGTCTCACCTTGCTTCTCAGCTTGGACTTCGCCGCCTTGGCCCAGGTCATCAAGTTGGTGGAGGTGGTTAAAGACTCCAGTGGAACCTTGGAGAGTTCAGCAGCAATGAAAAAACATTGAACAAGTCCAAGCACTTGTTGGGGTACATTTGGTTATTTTCAATGGCACGCTACCCCGACAACATGGAGCTCAAAGAGAAGCGACACAAACAAACGAAACAACAAAAAAGAAACAAAGCTTTGGTGCCACCCAACTGGAGCAAAAAGCAAACACCACAATCAATTTTCATGTGGCTTTTCTCGGTTTTAAGTGACTGATCTCAGGACGCGTGGTGAAGCTGAAATGCAGCCGGTCGCTCAGGAGCGAGGTGTTGTTTTGAAGCCACATGACTTTGAGGATAGTTCGGTGTAGGATAGTTGGATGTGTAAGCCACACTGTGTCACAGAGTCGAGTTGTCCTCTTTCCGTTCAAAGTCCAAACATGGATAGTTTCTCTTGGCTGAGGCCTGGGCCTAGACGTATAGTGACCAGCAAGTAAGGATATCTACCTGGAGTCTCAAAGTACCTCAGAAAATGGGTGCAAGTACCGGCAACTGTCTTTTCTATGGAGTCAGGTCCCACTTTCTAGAGCAATTTGGAGGGTCCAGCAATATGTGTGTATACAATATATAATATATCTGTATAATATATATATGTATACAATATATATATGTATACAGTATACAATATAGAATGTATTTGTATATATGCAGAGAGAGATAAACTTTGTGCTTTTTGCCTCGCGACTTTGGGTGCAAAAGCACTCCTATCCCGTCAGACCCAAATATATAGAACATGGATGGGTAGAAGTGTCATAAGTATCTTATTGAACGCCAGAACATGACTCTTTCTTGCGATCTGTTCCTTCCGCCCAACCCTTGACCACCTATTGGCCTGACTCACTTGGCCATTCGATCCCTTTCTTCCACGGCACCTTCCACTGCCTCACCTGAGGTCACGACAGTAGCACTCGCGATGTGATGCCGGCAGATCGGAAGCCCAAGGTCATCCATTGGGTGAATGCCAAGGCTTGTGCCTCTCGTGCTCGTGCTACGGGCGGTGGTGGTTGCTGGTTCTACGGCCGGCTGTGGTTGGTCCGATTTGCAGACTAGATGGGCTTTGCTGAATGGCTGCAGTCCAGGCAAAGCACAGAATGATGTGATAGCTCTTTGTGCATTCGTTTGCAAAAGTTTGGTTTGGGGAATAGGGGTTTTGTCTTGCAGAGTGAAATGAACGCACTTCCTTATTACACTCACTTCTTTGCTGTCAGTTGTTTGTCTACATGACATGAGGAGACGCACATTCTAGAAGCCCTAGTGGCAAGAGTGGGCTGAACGATAGTTTGGCATAATAAATTTGTGATGATCATTTGATCGTCATACCAAACTATAAGTCTATAAGTCATTTTGAGTGAGTCTGGTATTCTGGGTCACTCCTGATGTTAAAGGAGTTCTCTTGATATAAGAAAGGTTAAATCCCGTTCCTAAACAAGCTGGTTCGACCTGGGATACATTTCAACCGTATGGCGTTGTTCCATGTTTTTTCCCCAATGTGGCCCAGATCCACCTTAATACAGATCAGCAGATGTGCGACAAAACGTGGCGATCTGCACCAAAATCAACTTTGTTCCGTTGAACCAGTGTTAGTTCTTACAGGTTTCGGGAAGAGATCAATCTTGCATTGGCTTCAACTACTCTTTCGAATGTACTTATGACAAAACTGAACCGAACCTCCAGACCAACCCCAACCACCTGAGAAGGAAGTTGGAGCCCTGAGAAGGATGTTGCTTTCTACTATGATTTCGATGGCAACCACCAGGCTGACGGCCAAGAAAGAATTCAGCCAGCTTGGGATCCCAGAGAAGGGACTTCAGTCAACTCTGCTATCAGCAGCTTCCTTCACTTGGATCTTCATCTCTTCATGCGTGAGCTGCCGAAAGAACCGGTGTCACGGTCCAGGTCTTTTGGGATTTTGGAAGCTCTCTTTAGTCAGCAAGCAATCCGCCCTCCCTGCCAGGATTGCTTGGACGCAGAGGCCAGGCTTGGCCATTTTTGGGCGATCTTTTGAATTGGATCAGAATGCAGTTAGTCCCCACTTAGACGGTTCATCATATGTCATCATGTTTCAATTTGTGTTGCAGACTGACATGTCTTCATTGCTCCACTGGGTCGGTCGTGCGTGGAGGGTCTTTCAGCAGACATCCTAAGACTCTTTGTGGGACTGATGAATGGATGTGTATTCACAGACACTCCAGCGATGGAATATGTGCCGACCCATTGACCCCCGAAACCACCTCCAAGCATGGCATATACATGTAATGTAGACATATGTAGACTCTTGATTGATAAGACCCTCCCATTTTGGATTGTTAAAAAGCCCTTCTCATGGGGAGTTTTGTCAGTCAAGAGTCTACGTTAGTGTTTGGGATTGGAATACAACGACCGGCCCCATGGGATTAAGTTTCGAGTGTTTCAGTCTCGGGACGGTGTGTTGCTTCGTCCAGCCGTGAAGAAAGTTGCAGTTGTGGGAGCTTGACCAAGATGTTGGGGAGGGAATGGAGGGGGTAGTCCCTTTCTGGCAATTCCCCTTTTTTTCGAACAGGATTGGTGCTCTCCTCTTGCATATATAAGGATAAAGGCCCCGACGCCTGAGTGGGATATGCGGGAATTGAATGGAACGAAGGACCCCGTCCCAAAATGAACACCGGGGCCCACAGCTGGTGCCTCTGGTTCTTTGCATCTTCATTTCCCACCATTCTTCCACCCAATTCCGGAGCAGGAGGTGCAGGTTGGCTCACTGACCACACAAACCTGGCGGGTTGGCCACTGATGTTCATCAATATCAATTGTCGAAGTGTCGTTGGGTCCTATTTGCTTCACTGGCTTTGTATCAGTCATGGGCGATTTTCACGTGGATCACCGTGGGCCGCTGGCCACGACCGCAGGGCCACTCGGTTGTTGGGTCCCGGACCCCACCGATCCATGTGGGGAATACAACCTCACCATGCCACGGATTGGTTTGGGCGACTCACTGAGCTGAACCAAAACGTTTGGATTCTGCAATTAGGTCGAGAGACCTTGTGGAACCTGATCGGTACATGCAGGGCATAGGCTATTTAGTGTTGTTCAAGCTTTCTAGCACTCGCACATCATCAAGCTCCATCATCTCTCAGTTTTCGCCGGAAGAGGCCGCAAGTGTACCGCGTATCCCGCGTATCGAGGTCAGGCTGATCAACCCCCTCTTCCTGCCCATGCCGGACCCGGTGCCCGAGGGCAAAGACTTCTTGTCTTACATCAACCCGGAGGTCGGGGGGGTAACCGTGGAGGCACCCCGGAGGAACCCCGGAGGAACCCCGGAGGCCTGGAGTAAGTAGCCTAGAAGCCAGTCGTTTGGTTCGCTCAAGGTGGCTTTTGCAGCGGGACTGCGACCACGACTCAAAAACTCCTTAAGCTGGGGAAAGGGCCATCAAGGGCCGCTGCCTAGGCGGTTGAGACCCTGATGGGATCAACCAGATGTGAAGACTTTTGAATTGCCTGACTCTACTTACATAAAGGACTACATCAACCAAGTACAGTAGATGGACATACCATGACATACGATCTCTCTCTTCCAACTGTGCCAATTGTTTCCCTGATCTGAAACATCAAAAGCCAAATGCGTATATCCCAAACTAAATGTTGGAAGATCAGTAACAAGAAGCTATTAGTAACAAGTGCCACGCTACTAGTAACAAGTGCCTTACTAGTAGTAACAAGAAGCTATTAGAATTAAATTCTATATACCAAGCTCAACCAGATCTCCCGGTCGACCCTCAACCGGCCCTCGATCGGTTGGATGGCCGGGTCTTCCGGGCTTCTGCCTTGATCGATCCGGGATTTGTGGGTCGGTTCAGTGTGACGTAGCTGTGAGGGTTGGAACTTGAGCTGGCAGTAAAGTAGCCTAATACAGCTAGCTCCCTGAAAATCATGGAAGCGGATGGCACCACCTGTTTGGCTTTTCGGAACATGGTCATCCTCTCCGGGCCATGCCATCCACCGAACTGTGAAGATTCCAGGCAGTGTGGTGTGTAATAGCCTTGGTAGTTCGATTCAAAGACCTCGGTTTCCAGAGCTTGAAATTCTGCCCAGACGCGACTCTGGCACCCTTTGGAGGGATCGGACCCGAATCCTCATGGGACCAAGGGCTGTTTGGAGCGTTTGTGTCCTTTTCTTTTGAGGCCTTTGGTCCTCCCAAAACGACCTCTGGACATCAATCATCCAGAATCTCCAGAAGCACATGTAGACCAATTTAGACACGACTTGACGACTTCTTTTGCTCTCCAACAACAAGTGGGTTGGGGGCTGCCTTCCAACAACCATGGAAGCGCGGACAACATGGTCATTCATGGTCATTCCTTCGGGGCTCAGGACGAGGTCAGAGACTCCCCCGAGGTTACAGGGAGCGCCACTCCTGTTCCATGATTGAAAGGAGGGTTTGTGTTCCTCCTACTCTCTCTTTCTTTCAACAATCATGGGTCTTTCGTATCATGGAACATCATGGAACCATCTAGGTCCAGCGACCCGCTTTGAACCCACAGGCGATGGTGCGCTGCAAGGCCAAGGTGGAGAAGGCTTTAAGCAACTGCGTCCTGGAGGAGACCGAGAGTCCTGGCCCAGTCGATGGTTCCATCAGAGCCCAGTGGAGTAGCATGCCTAGATCGCCTTATTTTGCTATTGGTTGGTTGAATGTGAATGATTTAGAGAGTCGATACCCCCCAAATGTAAATGAACAACATTGAACCAGCAATAGTCAAATGAAGCCTCTACTCTCCTCTATGTCCAAAAAGACATTCATCAAATCATTGTTACTCGTAGCATGATATACATATATAATATACATAGTTTCTCACTCATGGTGTTTTATTGCAGAGGGGTCAATCCTAATCCATTAAAAGGGTACCACTTGTTTTTGTCTAAGTTGTTCCAAGCCGAGCTCCAAGTCAAAGAAGCCCTGGCACACGGGTCGTTTCTCGCACCCAGGGGGGGGTTCGGACCAGGATCGCTTCCAATTCGAGCGCCTGGGATACTTTGCACCTTGGCGGTCCGGAGGAGCTATGTCTTCGAACGAGGGCGGTCGGTGGGGGGGATCACTGCCTCTACGTTTGACAGAAGTCTGGAATAATTTGGAGATGTCTTTGGGGGAAAGGCTTCTTGGGGGAAACCAGCTTGAGCAGTGGCCATGGGGAGGAGCGCCAAAGTAGATTCTACAGTACACGGGGTTTGCGTCTCCCCGTGCTTCGTTCACTGTTCAATTTGACACTCAAAACATGTACAGTACATACATATATATATATAACAGTAACATAGTAACATAATAACCTGAAAATATATAGAGAGGAACAATGAGGAACACATTTTGGAACCTCACGTTTACTCAAGATGTTTTTGATTTTTTTTTCAATCCTAATTAGTGAATCTTAGTTCATGTTCCAGACACAGAACACTGACATGAACGTGGAGATCTTGGAGGTTCCAATTATTTGGAACCGGCCTTGTTTTTAAATTGGAAATGACCTCACAGACAGTGACAGAAACCATTCTGAAGATGCACGTCATTGCACATCATTTTCTGTTAGATGTCATCACTCAGTCAGGATGACGCTTGACTCATCTTGACTCTGTTATCACAAAGATGTTTCGCAACATATCTTCAGTCGGTGTTGTTCTTGCTGAGGCCCCTGACTATGATTGCTTCACGGAGCCCAAGAAGCTTTCCTTCAATCGTGTGGTGCCCCTGAAGGAGTCCGCCGATAAGAAGAAGATTGAAGGAAAAGGCCAGCCTGACGGTTTCGGCTATCACCAGAGGAGACCTGTAGAGTCGGGTGCTAGTATAATGATCTAGATGTTTGCTAAGGGTGGGACTACTTGGAATGAGAATGGGTCTGGGTTTCATGTCACTTAGGCGGTCAAGAGAGCCTATGTTGGAGGTGTTTGGGCAACTGAAAACCTGAGAGCCACAAGCCTTATAGCCCTATGGCATCAGATGGAATGGGATACCAACAAAGCTGAGGCTTCGGTTTGGCCTTCCTAAGAATCTGTGGAAATGGTGAGATCATGTTGGATCGGACGCCCGAAGATGTTTTCTGGTCCAAATGGATTCTTTGGGCGTGTCGTTTTCTTCTGCATCTGCTGCGCCGGCTTCGAATGCATTGGCATCATTAGGACGGTCGTTTGGCCATACTGGTCGAAAGGACGGCGACCATTGGGCGTGCCTTGATTTGGTCGCTCGTCGGTCATAGCGCTCAGTCGGACGTCACTCTTTTCATCCAGGGCGGAAGTGGTGACCGGTTTTTTGGGGAGGGGTGACCGGGAACCACTCCAGAGCAACCCAACTTGGAATTCATGGGCGGGTTATGTGTTTTGGTTTTACCTTCGTTCGATCAGTTTGCTCATAGGAGGACATCATGTCACAAGAAGTTTGAACAAAGCAGAAGCCAAAAGCTCTGGGTTAACTCTGATCATATCATCTCCTCATTTTGCATTTTGTATCATGATCTTACACGATATGATCTCCTTTCATCTCATCCTTCTCCAATTCTCCCTGTGTGCAGTCCCTCGTTTGCCAGGCACCGCCAGTCGGAAGGAGGAGCAGCAGAAGCAGATGGCAGAGAAGGAACGGCTCATGAAGATCCCTCCACAGGACCGCGTCGAGCAGAGATGACCGGCTGGAGCGAGTGAGGGAGATGCGGGGAGGCCAGTCGCTGTTTTCGGGGCGAGACGGGTCCTTCATGAAACGAGTTCAGGGGTCATGTAGAGTAATCAACCCTGGAGACGTAATACGATTCTGGCACCGGGGCGGTTGAATAACAGCTTCATTCTTTGTGGGGCAAGCATTGATGGCAAGAGACTTCAGGGTATGATTGTACCATACCTATCGCTGTTCTGAGAAGTGAAGCTACAGTTGCTTTATTGAACAAATGGGAGAGCCGCTGTCCACACCTCACCAGCAAGTAGCGACCAAGTCATCAAGCAGTGACTTTCATGCCAGCGCCACAGCCAAGGATTGAGTTTTCATACCAGTAAATATGGGATGAAAACAAAGTCAATCTGCCAAGGAAAACACCAATCCAACACATAGCCGTCTATGAATCAGAAGACTGTGGCGAATGACAACAGGGTGGTTTGAGCTTTTTGGTTGGTAGGCCACGCTGCTTAGAAAAGTGTATGACTGTATGACTTTTCATGAAAAGATTCAGCTTGCTGTGAATACATATGAAGACTCAACATTCCAAACAGAAAAACATCTAAGAGGACTCTATATTACATCGAGTTTTGCTTGCATCGCAGTCTGTGGGGTTTCAGTTCCGAGGGTGGAACCCATACTCGATGTGAATGTTTTAGTTATTTGTATGTATAGAATCTATATATTAATATTGTATAGATATATTAATTTTACTATTTGCAGTTGTGCTATAGTGGTTCGATCTCAGATAGCCCGAGCCCGTCGGTGCTTTTCAGTTGCCTGGAGGGCCGAGGAGTTCTCACCGGGTCGAAGGGAGTTCCATGTCTTGCCATCAGCCGTGGTCATCGTTTCAGGAGTTCTTCAAGTCCGAGAGAGGCCGAATCGGACAGAGTGGGTGGGCGGGTTTCAGAGATGTGCTTTGGACGGTTTCGGGATCGTTCAGGGTCATCTGACTGGACGACCCTACACTAGACCTGTGGGCTTTCATTGGGTACTCTTTGGATGGTTCTGGTTCGTGTAAGTAGATTTGACAATGTCTCACCAATGGATGATAAGTTGACTTGGCGGTTGTTTTAAAGCGCATGTTGCATTTAATCCAACATGGCTGGGCCTCCACGCCGCCCCGTGTGCTCGTTGAACATGTTGGGTTTTGGGGTCCAGTATGGTCCAAATGTGGTGGTTATTTTATGTTATTTTTGATGTTGGGGCGTACGACATACCACCAATATACAGCATGCTACATGCAGTAAAGAATCCTGTTTGGGCCTAACAATAAGCCCTACTACTACTACTACTACTACTACTACTACTCCTACTCCTACTCCTACTCCTACTCCTACTCCTACTACTACTCCTACTACTACTACTACTACTACTACTACTACTACTCCAAAGCAATCCAAAACGCAATAATGATACCAGAGGTTTGTTACATGTTTGAATATCATTGAAAGCAGCTGAAGGAGGTGGAGAGGCCACCATTGTTGGTCCAGACTCAATGGAACCACGTGCCTCCGTGAAACCAGCACCGGTTTTCAACGGCTGGTGAAAGGAATGTCGTAGGACAATTACATCGCTGGGCCTATTTGGAATGATTTGTTTGATGGTTCTATAATCCTTGACAGTCATCAGAGTTTTGTCAGAGTTATTGTGGATATTTTTTCGGACGCTCTCGGACATGTCTATTTAGGGCTAGAGAGTTACAAGTCTTAAGCTACAAGTAACAGCCTTGAATTTGGAATTTGCCCAGCTCCCAAAATCGATGGATTCCTATTTTTGCTTTGGAACCATGATCATGATCACCCATCATTATCATCATCGTCGTCGTCATCATCATCGTCGTCCTCATCACCATCACCATCATCACCAGTCACTATCAAACGCACCCATCAAACGCACCTAACTTAACTTTTTCCATATACCTCCTCATAAATCACCACTCTCCGGCTCCGGCCGCGTTCGAGAGGCGATGAGTTCTCCGCCTACGACGCTGAGGGAGTGCCGACCCACGACAAGGAGGGCAATCCATTGCCGAAGAGCTCCATCAAGAAGTTGGCCAAGGACCTGGGTCCTAACCGGTCCGGAAATTGTCTGGTTGGCATGAGGATGTGCTTGGCTTTGTGGAGATAGGATGAGGCAACTGGGTGAATCCCGTGACATGGGGAATGTATTCGATGTGTTCTCGGTTCCTTAAGGATGATGATGTGTGCAAGTAAATCCTCAAAAAAGAAAAGAAGGATTTCAATTCTATCAGCAAGTAAGTTTCATGACAAACGAGGCCAATTTCATTTTAATCGAGGGATAGCTCTGCATGTTTGTGGTTGGGGCTTGTCACATGAAAACCCTTTGCAGCTGCGGAGCCTTGCTGTTTTTCGCTCTCAAGACCAGAGTGGTTTGGTCTCACACACACGTGTTCACACGTGTACCCCTAGAATGCTTGTGCAGCGGTTGCTGTAACCAGTAGTGGAAACTTCATTCACCAAACATTTTTTCAGCTAGCTGTGTTTTGAAGGAGGCTTGAACATGTTTTACAACGCTGCTCAAGACCACATCCAAAATGAAGTCATGAAGATGAGCCGGTCTCAAATCAATCTCAGCACACCCTGCGCTTTCAGAGACTGGGCTTGCCGAAGATAGTATAATGGCTTGCCTCAGAGTAGCAACAGCATTTCAGTTGCACCCGGACCCTCAATTGCGTTTTGGGAATTGGTGTTGCCATGTGCATCGAAGCTGCGTGGCATCAGCTCCTCAGCTGTTCATTGCAGGGCAGCCCAGCCAGTCAGATCTCTAACTGGTTGAAGAGAGAACAAAACAAGATGTAAGATGCCTCATGTTTAATCCGAGCTTCTTTTTCTGCCTTCAAGTAAGCTACGCGCCAATACCGACAAAGGATAGGACTGGCATCCAGGACCTGCCAAATGTTGTAAGCAGGTGGTTATCACATCCACATGCAAAATAGGAAGAAGTGTTCAGCCCAACTGCACAACTATGACATATTGTGATGCGTTTTGTTTTGGACCCTGAACACAGCCTCCAGTGGGAAAGCGCTTGCCAAGGATGACCACTTCAAATTGCCCACACCCGGTGTGTAGGCAAAGACTGCAGGGCCGTTTTGCTTCACCACAAAGAAATCATCTCCTTAGGTTCTTATCTCCTAATGGCTTCAAGAGACCTGTATGAGGCAATGTTTAGGAATTTGTTGCTTTTTGAGCTAGAACATGATAGCGCATCTATTATGTACACATTCCCTTCATTCAAGTCACCATCACCAGACTCCAGCTCCGGACGATCAACCTGATGACCATGGAGCTTGGTATCCACCAGCCCCTCTTCTTCTAGTTCATGGAGGAGGGCACGGATGCTGCAAGGATTCGAATCAGTGCACTGCTTGCTTGTCTCACTCTGAATCTCAAGCACGACCTTCGACAGGTCGTGCTTCCAAGCGGCTGGAATCGTGTGCGAAAGCGTGTCACCTGCACAACTAGTACTTTACTGTGCCAGGGCCAGCAGTCAAAATGCAAAACAGCTCGTCAATGAGAGTTGACATTGAGTGCCAAACAGCTCAAGCCTGTAAATTGAATCCTTTTCCATCCTTTTCCCTTCTCCCCAGAGATGGTCTAAGCTCTAAATGCTATGATCGGATACCAAGCCCCACTCCATCTTGCGCTTCAACTCTCTGCGCTGTGGCAGGGAATCCAAACCAGATTCGCATGATGCTCTGAGTGGGCATCGCTTGACAAACCCGAATTGCTCCACAGGCTCATCAAAAATCCTACTTCTTGCCCTTTTTGGCAGAAGACCTGTCCTGTCCAGGCTTCAATCGCCTCCGGCTCAGCTCCGAATTGCTCATGTTTTTCATGGCATTCAAGCGGGCAGGATGGTCCTCCCACCTTGTCACACTCAAAAGAAACTGCAATTTGATTGACCAGTGGGATTCCTTGATGGGAAAACAGCTCAATAACGTCAATGAGAGGTCACTAGTTGCCACCTGAATGCATCCAAAGCACGAAGCTCTGGCAAGCTTCAGGACCTCAGAAGCCTTCATGTCAGGATTCGCTTTCTTGATTTTCTTCTGCTCTTCATGGATCACCGCCCAGTAGATGGAACGAATGGATTCCCCACCAGACGCCTTGGAATCTGACTGGCCAGGATCCTGAATCTCCTCAGACTCAGCCTCCTCCTCCTCCTCGTCCTCCTTCTTGTCCCAATGGCCAAGCTCCAACGTCGTTGACTCTTCAGAGTCCAGGGAATTCTCCTCCTCAGCCTGATCATCCAGCTGGTGGATCTGGTGATGAGGGGAATGGTATCCATATGGCCATATGGCCCATATGTTTCATTATGTTTCCATGTTACTGTTAACGAAGGGCCTGTGTTAAACCTCGCCCCATGATGTTAATTACAAGCATGTCATATTCCTTCACTTGAGACTTATGACATTGACATGTTTTCTGAGGCCTGAACCTCAGCATCGGCTGCCTTCTTGCCAGCGGCCATGGTCTCAGGGAGCACCATGCATGCCAACAGGGCGTCAGAATAATGACTAGAAAACAACGAGTCATGGTCTCCACATCTCAGAAAAAGTTCTTTGTATGTTTGTCACAGAGCAAAAACAAACCAGGCCTTAGCCTTCTTAGAGACACGTGCTTTTGCTTTTGGCTTTGGAGCAGCCCGCCCACGTTTCTTGTTTCCCGAGTCAGTTGGCTTAGTAGGCTCAGTAGAAGGCTCTCCTTTTCCTTTCTTTCCCTTACGACTCTTAGCAGCTTCCTCATCCCCATCCCCATTGCTTCCAGCTTTTGCCTTTGCCTTCGCCTTTCCCCTTGCCCTCGCCTTTGCCTTTGGTTCAGCCTCAGGCGAAGCAATCCTTTGCTTGATCGATTTTGCTAAGTTAGCTGCTGTTTTTTTCTCTTGGTTCACCTGTGACATGGCATCAGTGACCTTGGCCCTCAGCTCTTGTTTGACCTCCGGTTCCATTTTCTGATGGTTAGAACCCCCAGCTGAATTTAAGGTTCGCATAGGCAGCGCTGCTGCGGACGGAGGAGAGCCCTTCAGTCCAGTGGATGCACCATCTGGAGTGCGATTTTGAACCTGCAGCAGACTGCAAAAGTTAGGGTCCGATTGCTTGGTCAAGTGATCATGGAAAGATGAGATTCCATGTTACATTTACTCTTCAGTGAGTCATTTTCCAGATGTAACCCTAATTGAATTGCACGACCCTTTAATACCAAGTCTTGCTGCATCTTTTGAATGTCTGTCCATTAACAGAAGGAACAATGTCTTAAATATGGTGCTTTTGGTTTGTCCTAGACTTAGAAGTAAAGATGCCGGCAAAACACTCGGAAACAAGGAAACGATGGAAATGAGTGAAACATCTCTGGCAGGAGATTGGATTGACTGGAAGTCTTGAGGCGCGAGCGATCTGTCCCGGCGGGGTCTGGGTCGACCCTGGGCTGCTTGATAACATTTTCTCCAGGTCCTGGTTTGCTAGGGGAACAAAAAGAAGAACTGCCACCCAGCAAAACAAAGAATCCAGAATGTTTCTCACTGTTGTGCCTCTTTCAAACTCCAAAGAGACTTTGGCAACAGCAAGCGTGTTGAAATCAAACAGCGCCGATAAAATATCAAACAGCTATGTTTTGCTCCACGAAGCTGTCCTGCTGGAGACCATGTTTGGCCAAGATATCAGCTAGCGAAATGGTAGCATCAGCCATGTTGCTTTCTACCCAAACACCTACTACCTAAAAGCCTGGAACACCTGCAGCAAAGAGCGTCGAAATGTAGACATCAGAGTGGGAACATGTGAGCAACCGAGACTTGCAAAGCTCACATGTCAGCATGGTTCCACAAGAGTACCAGCAAGAACCAAGCCTCCACCCTCGCGCATGAGCTTCTGGTATTTCTCCCGGGACAGCCAGGAGGACTTGCCATGTGCAAGTTGGAACTCTCCACAGCCGAGCTCGAAGTCTTGGTGTGAGACCTCAGCTGATGAAGTTTATGTTATGTCTTGAAATGTTTTGTTTTAAAAGGGATATTTGTCCTCTAGTCTTTTGTTGTTTTTGTCCTCTAGTCTTTTGTTGCTTGCTTGTTTAGCTATTTTCTTTGCATCTTCACTTCATTGTTCCACTGTCTTTTAGTTGGCTGTGCGTTTGTTTGATTGGGCTACTTACTACGCTCAATTGATCAACAGATTGATTGATGGCTTGACCCATTGAGTGATAGGTTGATAGATGGATCAGTTGAAAGGTTGACAGATTTCAAGAGACTGATGGCTTCTGATTACTTAGTTTCTGACAGCTAGGTTGAGGCGGTAATGCTACCAAAACCATCAAATGACACACCTCCTTTAGCCTAGATACCAGCCAAAGCTTCATTTTCTGGTTCTCGAGCATTTCGACTGAGCTTCCATCCCGCCTTTTGGCCGAAGTAAGCATGAGCATGCATCCTGGTTCACGAGCTGGCACTTTGTTTTCCACCACATACTGCTCAAGCAACCCCTCCAGTGTGTCAGGTTCCAAGGAGAAGGGCTTGGGAGCTGCATCTTCCACAGGTGCAGCAGGGTGGTTGGAAGGGTCTGGACAGCTTCCAGAGCCCCCACAAAACCTAAGGGCACATCGGATACAAACCTAAATGCCCATTTGATACAAGTCAGCACGGGACCATGGATCACCAAATAGAATAAGGTCCAGTTGTTTTTTATGCCCCTGAAATTGGAAAATGTGTTTAAACACAATCCATGGCAGCTTCTTGTCGAAGTCTTGGATGAGGCTGCGCCATTGGGGAGCAAACAGCGGGTTCTCCAAGTGTAGGCCGCGAACTTCATTGGAAAGCTCAATGACATACTTCTTGATCCCTTTCGCTTTGTTGTTCAGAGAGAGCTTGGCAAGCTTCAAGGGGTAAGAGCTGAGGTCCACCTTGTCTACAGGAGGTGGTGTAGGGTCATAGGGCCTCACATTGCCCATCGTTTTGCCACCCCGCTTCCAATCCTGGCAGCATAGTCAAGAGCAAGCTAGATCTGAGGTTGATGGGTCTGACTGGGTTTGGGTCTGTTTGGCCTTTCCTTCTTT